AAGTTTGTACCTAACTTGGAGGGATGATAATCCAACACCAACTTGGAGGGACAGATCGATGGGTTTGTGCTCTCGCCCCCCCAGAAGGGACACCTTTGATAAGATTTCCTCGGCTATACCAAGTGTATCCCTGGGAATTAGTGTGTGTGATTGCAATCGTTTTTCTTTTGTGTAGTGCTATATAACCAACCTGTGGTTTGTGCATTTATCACAGGCAATTTGTGATAAAGAATCTTTAGATATTGCATAAAAATAAACTGTCCTATTCGTGAATCTGACGGCTTCTCTTGAATGCAACCAGACTTACCGTGTATGGGCTGTTTGGGCTGGGTCAGACCTCTAGTGACGGCCACTAATCACTATTTGTGAATCTGATGGCTTATTTTGCGTGCAACTGGACCTACAGCATACGGGCTGTTTGGGCCTCCGGGTCAGGCCTATAGTTACGATCCCAGTTGACATCCCTATTAAGGGATAAAGCCAGTCGTCCCTAGCCCCTCTGATCTCTGAGGACCGGCTAGAACACAAGGGGATTCATCTCTTAGCGCATTTATTCTCACCCTAAATGCAACACCCAGTTAGCCCTCCATAGACGTGCCAGCCTTCATTTATGGAGCTCTCCTGAGGACTCCTGAGAAGCAAAACCCATCCTACCTCCTAAGCAGCTGGTGCCTCTCTGCCCAGCTCAGTTTCCATGTCTTGTCCCCTTGTTACTTCTTGCAATGTCTCCAGAGGACTTGGGCAAAACGGAGGATACCCCTTAGAGGCCTCAGTGGATCATCTCTATTTACATCTCTCCTAGCTGCACGCAGCCCTAGATGTTACTTATTTCGGTTTTGTGGAACTCTGTGTGTTTGGAGCCAGGAGCAGGAGGATCAATGCCAGCTGTTTCCCGCTGTGTTTGCCTTTCATGCTTGGATCCCCTGACATTTTTTCAGGTGAAAGCGTGATGGTTTTCCTCCACACCACCATGCTGGCTACGTCTAAAACTTCAGCCAACATAGCAACTCTTCCATTCTCCTTTAAGGAAATTCTCCTTAAATTACCATCATTTTGTCAGCACCGGGCATGCTTCATTATTAATAATTAAGTAGGAAAACTGCCTTAGTATCAGTGTTGCTGACATATGTCTTGAGTTGGAACCAGGCTTATAAAGAGAATTGCTTGAAAGGGGTAGTCAGGGAAGCAATTTCCTCGATGGTGCATGCTAATGCACATCTCCAAGCCTGTCTTGGAGCTGCTGGAGCCGGGGAGTCGAGCAGCTCCATTGAATGGTGCCTCCTTGGGGATCAGTGTCTTGTTTCATCAAGGCCATCTGCTTGCGACACAGCCTCAGTCAGCTCCAAGTCCTACAACAAGCTGCTTTCATTGCTGGCTGGAAATGGTTTGAAAAATCTGAGTGTTGTAGGTAAACATGACGTGAGGCTATGGGATATAGCCATCCAGGGAGTTATCTCGCCGGCAGGCATTTACGGGGTGTTAGTGCACATGAAGAGGGGCCCAGAGCTGCTCAGGCATCTTGCTGCAGACCCATCCAAGGTGTGAGCTGGAGCTGTGCTCCGTGCCTGCGCTGACGGCCGGCGGAGGGGGCGGGATGGGACATCCCTCATGTGCCACACGAACCAGCCTAAAAACCAGGCTGCCCCAAAGACCCAGCAGGGCTGGAGTCAGGCTTTGCCCTCCACACACACAGAGGTCTCAGTTTTGCAAAGACAAATTCCGCAGATATTCACTTGCTGTTGGTGGGATGATAAGGTTTTGCATCATGAAAGCCTGGGTTTATATTCAAGGGGCTATTTGAAAGGGGAAGAGCTCAAATGAACCTCGCTGCCTGCTGGGTTAAATAAATCCTTTGCATCCCCTTCTTCCTCAGGCTCCTCTTCGTCACTGATTCTGTGCATGTCACTGGGTGTGAGAGCCGAATGTGATACGTTTTCCAGAGGTGCTTTTTTGAGAGCCACTAGTTAAGCTGATTTATTTTGTTGCCTCTGTATCCCTGGGGTCCCTATGAGCCAGCTCCCCAAGTGCACAGGGCAGAGCTGAGGCTGAGGCAGAGCTGAGGCAGATGCTGGTGCACTCACAGCACAACACGGTGGTGTTTCCAGAGATGAGACGGGGCCTTCTCAAAGCAACCCCCTTGACAATGGCTAAACAAATAATGTGAGGGCACTTCCCATGCTAACCAGTATTTCCCAGTGCTTCCACTTGCTTCCAGCAGCACTCAGATGCTTGCCACTTCTTCTCTTTCCCCTTCAGCCGTGCACCGACCCGCTGCTGTAGCTCATGCCAGAGGGTTAAATGTGCTCTTCCTCCCAGCCCTCGTCCCCCATCGCACGAAGATCACTGCCTCCTGCATCAGGCCAGTCAGCTCGCGCTGCTTTTAGGAGGATTTAGGCTACAACACCTAATTTACCACTAAGGGGACTTAAGAGGGAGTGGTTGTGCATCTGGGCTGAGAGCTGATCCATAGGGCAGGGTCATGCATTAAAGCTGGAGGACAAGCATTTCACACCCTGCCCTGAAAATATGCCAGCAAAATGCGGCATATGTAGAGTTAGGTTAGGTATTCCAGGCCTGGGATCATCTTTTTTTTTATTATTTTTTTCTGTTTTCTTCAGTGCAGAAGAGATCTCTGACCCTCTCCAGCCCCTTGGATGATCGCTGCTCCTCTCATGGTGAATTCAGACCCAAGGTCATCCCCGAACCCCAGACTGGGCACAGGAGCATGAGTATAAATACAAATTTTCAACAGCTGCCCCATCCAGTTTGGAAATATAGATCCGTGTAGGTTTTATTATTTAATTTTTGGTTTTACTTCTCTTAGATTTCTTTTTTTGTGTGTGTTTGTTTTTGGCAGGTCTTATTTGTATCAATTATACAGCTCTAAGGAGAATGCTAGCACCCCAGTGGCCAATTCCCACACTTTGTTGAGGAACAAATGGAAGAAATGCTGTGTTTAGTTATCTCAGCCTGCCTACCATGATATTTTCCCTAATACTTGGGTTTAATAAGATAGGAAATCTAAGCCATTGTGTGCTGGTGGATATCCTCATCCTTCCTTCAGCTAAATATGCTATCAGATAGCTTCCACGGAGATGAGCAACAGCTTCCTTTGAACTTGTGAACCGTCAAGATTCACTAATTTGCTTAGACCACCTGCTTGGCTAATATTACCACAAGCCTCTTGTTTTCTCTCCAAACTAGTAAATAGAAATGTAGAAGGTGCCTAAATGCTGCTGTACGGAGCCAGCCCAGCATGCCGGCAGCAGAGGTCGGCCACACCACGGCTCTGCCTCGGCCAAATAAACCACAGCACGGACCGTGCAAAGCCCCACGAGCAGCCTCCACTTTTTTGCCCCAGGACTTGCAGCCCTGGAGAAATGCTTCAGCTGGATCCGTGAAGATCCCGGCGTCCCCCAGGAATTGCCATATAAAATGGAATGACCCCGCTTCACCAATCTCTCTGCCTCGTGTTTGTGCAGAGCTGGCTGGGGTGTCTCTGCTCCCAGGACGTAGTGGATGCTCGGTGGGGAAGAGAGTTAACCGCAGAGGTGTTGATGAGCCCCCCCCACCACAGCCAATTAGCCCTAGAAAAGGAGATTTGCTTCCAGCCAGCTTGGGGATATTTCTACTGCACTGATCTGCAACGGGCACCCGCCCCGCAATGCATCTAGTGATGCAGCAGGGTATTTCTTCCACGAGTCGCAGATATATTTTTTTAATTACCATAGAAACCTCCAAACATCACAGCGTATGCCGTTACATCAGGATCTCACTCCTCCACATCTGCTTCCTGGGGGCACTATGGGGAATAGGTACTGTGGGGTCCTGGGTGGCGGATGATGCTTTTGGGTTTTATTTCACAGACTCTGTGGCTTGGGTCCTTTTACTCTTGCTCGTTCATGACTTGCTGCGTGTGGGGGAAAACACCATCTCTCGCCTGGCCTCACGGAGGGCTGCGTTTGGTATTTCAGCCCTAAAAATTCTCCTGATCGCTGCTGTTACCACTTTAGATGTGCAAAAATGCAAAACCTGAGAGGCGTTATCGGCAAAGCAAAGCTTGGCAACCCTTAAATTAGCAACGTGCAAGCACGCGGCATTCTGCCCGGAGCTCCTCGTGCCGTTAACGCCGATGCTTTAACAAGCCTCGATCCGCGTCCCTGTGTAAAATGTACACACGGGCGCGGCAGATGGTGTATCCTCACAGCTCCGCGGGCTGTCCCTCAGCACGCCCGGCCGGCGGGAGGACTGTCGGCGTCGAGGTGAGGGGAAAGGGGCTCTTTGATTGACCATTTATTAGGATGGAGACGGAGGATGAGACAGATGGTTGGGGTTTGTTGGCAGGGAACTCCGCTCCTGTTTGTTTAATTAGTCACCAGACATACTGAAAGCTAAAGCGTGTTACACGCAAACCCACAAGCGGGGGGAGATGGACCGTTTGCATTTGACGTACAGGAGCTGTTGGAAGCGACTTGGTGATCCTCATCGCGTGGTCTTGCTGCAGGATTGATGCTCCCACACACGGGACCGGGCATTCCCAGGAGCTTTAGGCAAGATCTATCTCCCTGATACATTTTTTTTTCCCAAAAAAAAGGGATGCACTCAGCCATGTGCTCACTCAGAAGGGCAACGGAGCTGGGGCAGGGTCTGGAGCACAGGTCTGCTGGGGAGCGGCTGGGGGAACTGGGGGGGTTCAGTCTGGAGAAGAGGAGGCTGAGGGGAGACCTCCTGGCCCTCTGCAACTCCCTGCCAGGAGGGGGCAGAGAGGGGGGATGAGTCTCTGGAGCCAAGGAGCCAGCGCCAGGCCCCGAGGGAATGGCCTCAAGCTGCCCAGGGCAGGGTCAGGCTGGCTCTGAGGAAGGATTTCTGTGCAGAAGGGGCTGTTGGGCGTTGGAATGGGCTGCCCAGGGCAGGGGGGAGTCCCCGGGATCCCTGGAGGGGCTG